ATGTTTATCAAATAAAGTTTAATGTTACAACTAATCATGGATCCCTTTAATACTTCAAAATAAAAATTATGTTTTTTAAAACTGGGTGGAAAAACAAGGTTTCTGTTTTTATTTAACAAGAAAAAAAAGATGATTTTAATCACAATGTCTATAAATTTAAACCAATTTAGTGGAAAGTTAATCAGATTCAGTGAGTTGTTTGCAGTTTTGTTATGTGAATTAATGGTCATTTAAATACTAGTGCATGAAATAAATAAATAAAAAATTAAATAAATAAAAAGCCCTAACATATTAGAGATAAAACAGCACTCATTCATTTTGCCTTTGACTCACCGAGAACATTCATGCCCCATTTGTATTCCAGTGTTTTCCTGTTCACTATCAAGGGCTCACTCTGGTTCAGCGCTGGGACCGGCACCTGTTTCAGGACYGTTTGGACCTAAAAGAGGGTCATATTAAAACAGGTCAGTGGCTTTAATGAACTCTCGACTCTGTAACTCCCTTCCCAGACGAGCAAACAGCCTCTCTGCAGCTGGAGCTTCTCAAATAAAGACACCAGGAACAGAAAAGAGACAGAGTATTCCTGCTTTATGACTAATGAATCCCTGAAGAGGTAATAAAACAGAAGTGGACCGGAGTGTGACCGGGGTCTATGAGGTGAAATTCAGCAGTGATTCCTGTTAACAAGCAGAGGTGGGTCCAGACGTATTCAAATACAGCAGAAGAACAAAATAAAGCTTTTTTTTAAATCTCAAACTGCTCCTTACTTTTTAACTGTAAGACAAAAGGTTTTATGAAAAGACCATAAATACAGAGTATTTAAGGAGCTCTGCTGGTGTTGGCATTAAAACAAGAATTTAAGACGTTTCAAGAGCCTCTAAATCAGAGAACAGCTGTTAACACCTGTCTGTGCCTTTTAGATCTCCGTGTTCAAACCATAAAATCAGTCTGTAGGTGAAACAAGTACCTGTTGGAAGCAGGCCTGGACCAGGTTCTCGGGGAAGAGGTTCCGGATCAGGTCYAGGAAGGCGTCCAGGCTGCTGACCTCCTGGTTCTTTGGAGCTGCGGAGGTCCTGCTGCCCCTCAGTTTGGGGTTACCTGGGTGGATCCCCAGTACCAGGATGACCCCCAGGATGGCGGCAATTACGGTGGTGGACATGTAGTAGACCATGGCTCTYCTGCCCATCCTGCCACTGGAGCGGGCGTCCAGACCAGCGAGCCCTGAGGAACCCAGGGTTTCAAATTATATCTGATTTAAAGGGTCTGTGACATCAAATTTTTGTAATAAACATGAATGCATTTTTGGAAAGATAACYTTGATAACATGTTGCAAAACAAAATTCACCTCACTGAGATGAACGGTTGTTGAGATATTTGCATGCGAAGGAACAGGAAGTGATGTCAAAGGGYAATGTCGGCATGTAAACAGAGCATTGTTACYACACAGACTGTAGAGAAGAATCTGGTGTTTCTTTAGATTATTTTAAATCGTTATCAAAGAGAGACGAAGAAGAGTTAAAGTTTAAATAATTTTGTTTGAATAAACAGAGACCAGCGAGTTTATTTTATTAATYAGTTCCCCTTTGATGTCACTTCCTGTTTCACTTTGGCTGAGGCAAATTCAAAAGAAAATATGCCAGTTATGTGACAAAATGGATAAAATCATGTGTATCATGCCAATTTTATTAAGTATAAAGATGCTTTCTTTGACTTTTTGTATTTGAAGGATAGGCGTGTCACAGGCACTTTAAACAGAATATCGACGAGTGTAAATATGTGGCTCACCTGTGATGAGGCTGGAGATGATGAGAGGCAGGATGAGCATCTTCAGCATCCTCATCAGGATATCTCCAGGAAAGGAAATCATGGTGAGAGCGGCGTAGTCTTTCACCATCATGTACCTCAGAAACATCCCAAACACTGATCCCATCACAACACCTGACCAACAGACACGGACAAACACTCCTAAAGGCTTCATTTACAAGACAAATGTGAACAAAATGATCTTCGTCTGTAAGTCAGAACAACTGCTTAGTTCATGAAAAGTTAAAGAAATGAAAGATAAACACATTAGTTGATTAGTTGAAAATAAATCACATATTTTTCTGRTCTGTTTACAGTCTGAGCTGACTCACCGGCCAGTTGTTTCATATCTGAGAAGACTAATGAGAGCCATCTACTGTAACGTAAACGCCAGAGTTTCAATCTTGGTGACAAATTACAGACAATATATTTACAGTATATATATATATATATACATACATACATATATACACTCCTCAACTCTGCGGGGATTTTTTTATTTTTCGGGTGAAAGAACTTTGCTATGTTGCTATGATGAAACGTACCAAAGTGTTTACAGAAGCCGACTAAAGACAACAACAAGCTGACGAAAAGTTGTGTGGGAAAAAGAACGTGCAGAGTGGAAATCTCAGTTTGTGGGTGAAGACAAGAAAAAAAGCATCTGACCTCAAAAAACAAAACAAAAAAAATTGAATTTTTGGTGAAAGTACAGCTTGAACGCTGACCGCTGAAGAACTTTGTTGACATTCTTTAGGAATAAACTGTGAACTATTAGAGTTAAATCCATGAGAACAGAAGCTAAAATCTGCAATCAGCTAAACTTAAAGTTAGGAAAAATAAAGCAGAAAGATGACAAAAATGAAGTAGATTAAAAAAYTAATGATGTTTTGATAAAAGAACTCTTAATGTATATCCAGAGGGGAGAAATTGCAAATAAACTCAGACACTGCCCACTGCTTCCCTGTCCAGTTAAATGTTCTGATACATGAAGGAACAGTCAGTAAGCAGAACGCTGACTGTAAATAACCTATGGAAGAAACTCTAAAGAGGAAATGTACCGAGAACCGTGAGTCCCAGCAGCAGGTTGTGGGTGTTGCGGCTGCAGTGACCCGCATCTTTATACGCCAGCTCCGTGTTGTCGTCTCTCAGAATCTCTTCCTTCTCCTTCTGCTTTTTTTTGTTGGACTGATTCGCCGTTGACTGGTTTGTCATCCTGCCTGCGATTTAAAAAGTGACAGAAAACAGGTTTTCCTGTTGTTTCACAGTTCAGACTCATGCACAGGGATGGTGCAATAATAAATAAAATAAACCCATGCTTTTGTTAAAGTTGCACCCTTCAAAAACTTTTTATTCTGTTTTTTTCTAATTATCCGATTTTGTCCCAAACACAGGAAGGACAAGCAGGAGCAGCCGTGACTCACACAGATGTTTTCAGAATATTTGGTTTTGATTCTTGAGGGAGGTAAAAATGCATGACCGCAGGCGAACACAGCAGGCAGCAACTAAACAGGACATGAAGAAACAACTCCAGAGATGTAATCTGTGCATCGGCCATTCAAATGAAAAATGCAGAAACTGCCAGAAGCTAAATACAACTTAATATGGAATTACTAACTGGTGATGGAGGACGGCTTTTAGCTAACCAGTTATAATGTGCCTGCAGTGGATAATGTGGCTTTGTTTAATRGTTTTTATATCATTCTTTGATTATTTTTGCTTTATGTACCCGTTTTCTGATTTGTAAACTGTTTTGATTYTTATTTTTTATGACATGAGCTGCTGACCTCTTGGCTGGGTCACATTTGGAAAAGAGATCTTGATCTCAATCTGGTTAAATAAAGGTGATTTATGGGATTAATCTTGTGCCAGCAGGAATTGAATTTGAATTTCTCAGATTGAATCTGAATGTGCATAATTTGAAATTGAATGCATTGGTT